GGGGGGTGAATTACTCCTTAAATCTCCGGTTGGCTTGGATTTTCTTGTAGTAGTTTTCCGCCTCGTTGTCCGTGTGTCCGTCCTTCTCGCTGACGGTCAGGCCGGCGGGCTTCCTCCGCAGGGTGGACTCCCGGCTGGCGGGGCCTAGCAGATTCTCCGGGATGCCCTCACCCCGCTCCGCCGCCCCGCTCCCTCCCGGCGCCACGTTGATGGTGGCCACGCTGCCGTAGCGCGGCTCGTCCTGCTCGATGTCGCTGACGGAGGAGCCCGGGGAGACGCCGGCGCTCCTGGTGGGCCGGAAGCCCCGGTAATCCTTGCTCATCTCGTTCAGCTCGTAGGCGTCCTGCCCATCTGAGCCTTTCTGGGCCACCTTCCACTCCCAGGGCCCGTTGCCGGAGGAGAGGTGCACCACGGGGTGGTGCGGGGCGTGGGCGTCGATGGTGACGATGCTGGAGCTGTCCCGCTCTGACGGCGAGCGGTACTGGGAGGAGTCGGAGCTGGTGGAGGACGAGGAGGTCTCCGAGTGCTTGGGGGTGACGGACACCAGGCCCTGCTGTTTGGACATGGCGATGACCTGCATGAGCCGAGGCGGGTTGGCCACCCGCTGGCCCGCCCCTTTCTCCGCCATCATCATCCACTTGGCCCGCACGGCTGAGCTGCTGTTGGGCGAGATGTTGGCAGTGCCTTGGCTCTCCTCGGGGATGTGAACCAGCTGGATGCCCCCGGCCGGGGCTGGATGAGAACCCGGGGCCCCATGGCAGCCCGCTCGGCCGTGCGGGCCTGCACCGTCGGGTAGAGTGAGGGGGGGACATGCTCCTCTTCATCCACGCCCACCGAGTCTGAGCCAGCCCTCGCGTGCCCACTGGCCTCCTCGGCCAGCGTCATGCTCCGGCCCTCCAGGGATTTCTGCTTCCACTCGGTGATGAGCTGCTTGGAGCGGGAGGCGTCCACGGGGACGTGGATGGTCATGTGGCGCCGGGCGGGGTCGTCCATGGAGGGGGTGTTGACCCGGGGCAGGGTGTTGCTGAAGGTGACCATGTTCTCCTTGCCCATGGGGCTGCGGGGGGCCAGCAGGTCCACGTCCACGCTGGCCCGTTTCAGGCTGCCCAGGGAGTTCTTCTCCCGCTGGACCTGGCGGTTCACCCCGTCCAGCCGGGTCTGGGGGTTGAGCTCGTCCGTGCTGACCGACTTATTCTGGTGGTACACCGAGTCATGGCCCCGCTGGGTCAGGGCCCGCAGGGCGTCCTTGGTGGGGGGGTTGGCCGGGGCCCTCTCGGTCGGCGCTTGGAAGTTGCCCACCGCGTGGTATGCCTGAGGGGGGGAGAAAGACCAGGGGTCAGGGGTTAGACCACACGGCAGCCATCCAGTCACAGTTCGGCGCCCGCGGGCTTCCCACTTTTAGGGAGCTTCCATCGCTCCGAATGCCAGGGACGGAAGCCAACCCCTGGAGGGAGACGCAAAGGCCCTTCCTCTCAGCTCTAAGCTCAGCTCCCGGAGCCGGGCTCTTCCCCGGGGCGTGAACTCACCAGGTAGGCCGCGATCCCGGAGCCGATGAGGAAGCCCACGTAGACGTCGATAGGGTGGCTGCGGTACTGGGTGATCTGGGTCAAGCCGCAGATGCCGGCGGCGATGGCGAAGGCGAAGACCAGGATGGGCTTCAGGAGTTTGGTGCTGTCCGAGATGATGGAGTTGAAATACATCTGGCCAAAGGAGGGGAGAGCGGGGGCCTGTCAGAGCCACGGCTGAGCGCTGGCCCAGCAAATGCACGGGGCTGG